AATATTCTATTTAAATTCAGGAGGTCCTAATATTAAAAACCATTTTCTAAAGACTCAACATTCTATATTTAAAATGGATAGCCAATGTATCAAAATAATTTTATTTTACCTCGATAGAGAGTAACCCTCATCATGTAAATAGTTACTCATATTGCTTTTATGAATAAAATGTATATATATCATACAATTTACCTTTTCATCGATAAAGAGTGATGTCATCATGTAAATAATTACTCATTATTTTTAAAGAGAATGTATAGGTATCATAGAAAGTATGCAAGCTGAAGTTACAAATGTTATTTGAAATTAAGCAACTTATGGAGATTTAGTAATAGAAGAAAAAGCTTATGATGAATTGAGACAAGATGTAGCAAAATACTTCAAAAGTCATAATAATATACTTCTTGACTTCAGGAGCCCCTAATGATCAAAATCATATTCCAAAGGCTCAACATGAATCTATATATAAATAAAGTAACATTATATAGATAATTTACCAGTAACCCTCATCATGTAAATAATTACACATCATATGTTTGCATATAAAACATAAGTCATATCATGCAAATCATGTGCACTGAATTTGTAAAAGTTTTTTTTACTTTGAACTTACAGTAAGAAACAAATATTAATAATAGAAACAAAAGTCCTCGACCACAAAGACAAGACATAGCAAAATGTTTCAAAAATCAGAAAAATATTCTTCTTAAATTCAAGTGTCCCTAATATTGAAAATCATTTTCTAAAAACTAAACATTCAATATCTAAAATGTGTAGCCAAGGTATCAAGATAATTTTATTTTACCTCAATAGAGAGTAACACTCATCATGTAAATAGTTACTCATATTGTTTCTATAGATAAAATGCAGAGGTATCAAACAGTTGACCTTTTCATCGATAAAGAGTAACTTCATCATGTAAATAGTTATTCAATGTTTTTAGAGAGAAAGTGTATAAGTATCATAGAAACCATGCAAGCTGAAGTTACAAAAGTTATTTGATTCTTAGCTACTTGTCAGGATTTAGTAATAGAAATAACGCGCCATAGAAAAATGTTTCAAAACTCAGAAAAATATTCTTCTTAAATTCAGGAGTCCATAATACTGAAAACCATTTTCTAAAAACTAAACATTCAATATCTAAAATGTGTAGCAAAGGTATCAAGATAATTTTATTTTACCTCGATAAAGAGTAACCCTCATCATGTTAATAATTACTCATATTGTTTCTATGGATAAAATGCAGAGGTATCAACAGTTGACCTTTCATCGATAAAGAGTAACGCCATCATGTAAATAGTTACTCAATGTTTTTAGAGAGAAAGTGTATAAGTATCATAGAAACCATGCAAGTTGAAGTTACAAAAGTTATTTGATTCTTAGCAACTTGTCAGGATTTAGTAATAGAAATAACGCGCCATAGAAAAATGTTTCAAAACTCATAAAAATATTCTTCTTAAATTCAGGAGTCCATAATACTGAAAACCATTTTCTAAAAACTAAACATTCAATATCTAAAATGTGTAGCAAAGGTATCAAGATAATTTTATTTTACCTCGATAAAGAGTAACCCTCATCATGTTAATAATTACTCATATTGTTTTTATGGATAAAATGCAGAGGTATCAAACAGTTGACCTTTTCATCGATAAAGAGTAACGCCATCATGTAAATAGTTACTCAATGTTTTTAGAGAGAAAGTGTATAAGTATCATAGAAATCATGCAAGTTGAAGTTACAAAAGTTATTTGATTCTTAGCAACTTGTCAGGATTTAGTAATAGAAAAAAAATGCCATAGCAAAATGTTTCAAAACTCAGAAAAATATTCTTCTTCTTAAATTCAGGAGTCCCTAATACTGAAAACCATTTTCTAAAAACTAAACATTCAATGTCTAAAATGTGTAGCCAAGGTATCAAGATAATTTTATTTTACCTCGATACAGAGTAACCTTCATCTTGTAAATAGTTACTCATATTGTTTTTATGGATAAAATGCAGAGGTATCAAACAGTTGACCTTTTCATCGATAAAAATTAATGTCATCATGCAAATAGTTACTCAATGTTTTTAGAGAGAAAGTGTATAAGTATCATAGAAACCATGCAAGCTGAAGTTACAAAAGTTATTTGATTCTTAGCAACTTGTCAGGATTTAGTAATAGAAAAAAACGCTCATTATGAATGGAGACAAGATGTAGTAAAATACTTCAAAAATCATAATAGCATACTCCTCAACTTCGAGAGCCTTTGATGTTCAAAACCGTATTCCAAAGACTAGACACGAATCTATGTCTAAAATATAAAGTAAAATTATATATATAATTTACCTTAACTTTGAGTAACCCTCATCATGTAAATAAAACATACTCAACTTATGTTTGCAGATAAAACATAAGTCATTTCATGCAAAAAAAATGTGCACTAAATTTGTAAAAGCTTTTTATTTTTAAGTTACATTAAGTAATAAATATTAGTAATAAAAGCATAAATCCTCGAGCACAAAGACAAATTATAGCAAAGTACTTCAAAACTTAAAAAAATATTCTTCTTAAATTCAGGAGCCCTTAATACTGAAAACCATCTTCTAAAGACTCAACTTCCTACATCTAAAATGTGTAGCCAAGGAATCAAGATAATTTTATTTTACCTCGATAGAAAGTAACCCTCATCATGTAAATAGTTACTCATATTACTTCTATGGATAAAATATATAGGTATCACACAGTTTTTACTCATTGTAAATAGTTACTCATTGTTTTTACAGAGAAAATGTATAAATATCATAGAAATCATGCAAGCTGAAGTTACAAAAGTTATTTGATTCTAAGCAACTTGTTAGGATTTAGTAATAAAAGAAAAATCTTATTATGAATGGAGACAAGATATAGAAAAATACTTCAAAAATCATAATAACATACTCAACTTCAAGAGCCCTTAATGTTCAAAACCATATTCCAAAGACTCGACATGAATCTATAACTAAAATAGAATGTAACATTATATAGATAATTTACCTTAACTTTGAGTAACCCTCGTCACGTAAATAATTACACATCATATTATGTTTGTAGATAAAACATAAGTCATATCATACAAATCATGTGCACTAAATTTGTAAATGTTTTTTTTATTTTTAACTTACAATAAGTAACAAATATTAGTAATATAAGCAAAAGTCCTCAGGCGCAGAGACAAGCTATAGTAAAGTGCTTCAAAAATTGGATAAATATTCTTCTTAAATTAAGGAGCCTATAATACTGAAAAACCATCTTCTAAAAACTCAACATTCTATATCTAAAATGGGTAGATAATGTATCAAGATAATTTTATTTTACCTCGATATAGAGTAACCCTCATCATGTAAATAGTTACCCAAATTGTTTATATAAATAAAATGTATAGGTATCGTACAATTTACATTTTCATCGAGTAACGTCATCATATAAATTTTTACTCATTGTTTTTAGAGAGAATGTATAGGTATCATAGAAAGCATGCAAGCTGAAATTACAAATGTTATTTGAATTTAAGCAACTTGTCGAGATTTAGTAATAGGAGAAAAAAACTCATTATGAATAGAGATAAGATGTAGCAAAATACTTCAAAGTTATAATAATGCACTCCTCAACTTCAAGAGCCTCGAATATTCAAAATTATATTCCAAAGACTCGATATGAATTTATATCTAAAATAAAGTAACATTATATAGATAATTTACCTTAACTTTGAGTAACCCACATTATATTATCCTTGCAAAAAAAACATAACTCGTATCATCCAAATCATGGGCACTGAATTTGTAAAAGTTTTTTACTTTTAACTTACAGTAAGTAACAAATATTAATAATAGAAGAAAAAGTCATCGAGCACACAAGCCACAACAAAGTACTTCAAAACTAGAAAATATTATTTTTAAATTCAGGAGTCCCAAATACCGAAAACCATTTTCTAAAGACTAAACATTCATTATCTAAAATGTGTAGCCAAGTTATCAAGATAATTTTATTTTACCTCGACATAGAGTAACCCTCATCATGTAAATAGTTACTCGTACTGCTTCTATGGATAAAATGTATAGGTATCATATAATTTACTTTTTCATCGATAAAGAGTAAGGTCATCATGTAAATAGTTACTCGTTTTTAGAGAAAAATATATATAAGTATCATAGAAAGCATGTAAGTTGAAGTTACAAGAATTATTTGATTCAAAGCAACTTATCAGGATTTAGTAATAGAAGAAAAAGCTCATTATGAATGGAGACGAGATGTAGCAAAAAACTTCAAAAATCATAATAACATACCCCTCAACTTCAAAAGCCCCTAATATTCAAAATCATATTCCAAAGACTCGACATGAATCTATTTATAAAATAGAAAGTTACATTATATAAATAATTTACCTTAACTTTGAGTAACCCTCATCATGTAAATAATTACACATCATATTGTGTTTTCAGGTAAAACATAAGTCATATCATCCAAATAATGTGCATTGAATTTGTAAAAGTTTTTTATTTTTAACTTACATTAACTAACAAATATTAGTAATAGAAGCAAAAGTCCTCGGGCGCAAAGACAAGTTATAGTAAAGTGCTTCAATAATCGAAAATATTCTTCTTAAATTCAGGAGCCTTTAATACTAAAAACCTTCTTCTAAAGACTCACCTTCTATATCTAAAATGGGTAGCCAAGGAATCAAGATAATTTTATTTTGCCTCGATAGAGAGTAACCCTCATCATGTAAATAGTTACTTATATTGCTTCCATGGATAAAATGTGTATTTATCACACAATTTACCTTTCTATCGATAAGAGTAACGTCATCATGTAAATAGTTACTCATTATTTTTAGAGAGAAAATGTATAAGTATCATAGAAAACATGTCAGCTGAAGTTACAAAAATATTTGATTCTAAGCACTTGTCATCATGTAAATAGTTACTCATTGTTTTTAGGGAGAAAATGTATAAAAGAAAAAGCTCATTTTGAATGGAGACAAGATGTAGCAGAATACTTCAAAAATCATAATAACATACTCTTCAACTTCATGAGCCCCTAATGTTCAAAACCATATTCCAAAGAGTCGACATGAATCTATATCTAAAATAGAAAGTAACATTATATAGATAATTTACCTTAACTTTGAGTAACCTAATCATGTAAACAATTCACATCATATTATGTTTACATATAAAACATATGTCATATCATGCAAATCATGTGCACTGAATTTGTAAAAGTTTTTATTTTTAACTAACAGTAAGTAACAAATATTGGTAATAGAAGCAAAAGTTCACGAGCGCAAACACAAACTATTCTGAAGTGCTTCAAAAATCAGAAAAATATTCTTCTTAAATTAAGGAGCCTATAATATTGAAACCCATCTTCTAAGGACTCAACCTTCTATATTTAAAATGGGTAGTCAAGGAATTAAGATAATTTTATTTTACCTCGATAGAGAGTAACCCTCATCATGTAAATAGTTACTCATACTGCTTCTATGGATAAAATGTGTAGGTATCACACAGATTACCTTTCTATCGATAAAGAGTAACGTCATCATGTAAATAGTTACTCATTATTTTATAGAGAAAATGTATAAGTATCATAGAAAACATGTCAGCTGAAGTTACAAAAGTTATTTGATTCTAAGCAACTTGTCATCATGTAAATAATTACTCATTATTTTTAGAGAGAAATGTATAAAAAAAAGCTCATTTTGAATGAAGACAAGATATAGTAGAATACTTCAAAATTCATAATAACATACTCCTCACTTCAAGAGCCCCTAATGTTCAAAACTATATTCCAAAGAGTCGACATGAATCTATATCTAAAATAGAAAGTGCTTAAAATTTGAAAAATATTCTTCTTAATTAAGGAGCCTATAATACTGAAAACCATCTTCTAAGGATTCAACATTCTATATATAAAATGGGTAGCCAATGTATCAAGATAATTTTATTTTACCTTGATAAACAATAATCCTCATCATGTAAATAGTTACTCATATTGTTTCTATGGATAAATTCATTGATAAAGAGTAATGTCATCATGTAAATAGTTACTCGTTGTTTTTAGAGAGAAAACATATATGTATCATAGAAAGCATACAAGTTGAACTTACACAAGTTATTTGATTCTAAGCAACTTATCAGGATTTAGTAATTGAAGAAAAAACTCTTTATGAATAGAGACAAGATGTGGCAAAATAGTTAAAAAATCATAATAACATACTCCTCACTTCAGGAGCCCCTAATGTTCAAATCATATTCCAAAGACTCGACACAAATCTATACTTAAAATAAAAAACAACATTATATAGATAATTTACCTTAACTTTGATAAGGAGTAACCCTCATTATGTAAATAATTACACATCATATTATGTTTGCAAATAAAACATAACTCATATCATATAAATCATGTGCACTAAATTTGTAAAAAAATATTATTTTTAACTTACAGTAAGTAACAAATATTAGTAATAGAAGCAAAAGTCCTCAAGCACAAAGACAACTTCAAAAATCGAAAAAATATTCTTTTTAAATTCAGGAGATCATAATACTGAAAACCATCTTCTAAAGACTCAACATTCTATGTCAAGATAATTTTATTTTACTTCGATAGAGAGTAACCCTCATTATGTAAATTGTTACTCATATTGCTTCTATGGATAAAATATATAAGTATAATATAGTTTACTTTTTCATCGATAAAGAGTAACGTCATCATGTAAATAGTTACTCATTGTTTTTAGAGAGAAAATGTATAAGTATCATAGAAAGCAAGCAAGTTGAAGTTACAAAAGCTCTTTGATTTTAAGCAACTTGTCGAGTTTAGTAATAGAAGAAAAAACTTATGATGAATGGAGACAAGATGTAACAAAATACTTCAAAAATCATAATAATATACTCCTCAATTTTAGGGAGCCCTTAATATTCAAAATCACATTCCAATAACTCGACATAAATCTATATCTAAAACAGAAAGTAACATTATTTGAATAACCTTCATCTTGTAAATAATTACACATCATATTATGTTTGCAGATAAAAAAAAATCATATCATACAAATCATGTGCATTAAATTTGTAAAAGTTTTTCAAACTTACTCTAAGTAAAATATATTAGTAATAGAAACAAAAGTCCTCGAGTACAAAGACAAGCTATTGTTAAGTGCTTCAAAAATCAGAAAAAATATTCTTCTTAAATTCAATAGCTCCTAATGCTGAAAACCATTTTTTAAAACTCAACATTCTATATCTAAAATGTGTAGCCAAGGTACCAAGATAATTTTATTTTAGCTCGATTGAGTGTAACCCTCATCATGTAAATAGTTACTCATATTGCTTCTATAGATAAAATATATGGGTATCATATAATTTATCTTTTTATCGATAAAGAGTAATGTCATCATACAAATAGTTACTCATTGTTTTTAGAGAGAAAATATATAGGTATAATAGAAAACATGCAAGCTGAAGTTACAAAATTATTTGATTATAAGTAACTTGTCGAGATTTAGTAGTAGAAGAAAAAGTTAATGATGGATGGAGACAAAATGTAGCAAAATACTTCAAATCTCATGATAATATATCCCTCAACTTCAAGAGCCCCTAATGTTCAAAATCATATTCCAAAGACTCGTCATGAATCTATATCTAAAATAGTAAGTAATATTATAGATAATTTACCTTGAGTAACGCTGTATAGAAGGAAAACCCGTGAAGAAAATAGTAAACCTCATCACACAAATAGTTACACTCCATAAGAGGAAAAACCCGTGAAGAAAAGAGTCAAATTAGCAAACTACTTCAAAATAAAAAACAACACTCTCAATTTTAGGAGCCCATAATACTCTTTTTGCCGATAAACATATTGGTATTATTCAAAAATAACTATAAAGTTGTTAACTTTATTTGAATTTTAATCAATTTGCAAGAAGTAACATATATTAGTAATAGAAGGTAAAACTCATGAAGAAAAGAGACAAGTTATAGCAAACTGCTTCAAAAATAAATAAAAAAAAATTCTCAAATTTAGGAGCCCATAATATTGCTTTTGCAGATAAAATATATTGGTATCATACAAAATAATGAATTGCCCGTCCAGTTCAATTGGTAGAGCGCAAGGCTCTTAAACTTATGGTCGTGGGATTGAGTCCCACGGTGAGCAATTCATAATTCTGACTGCCAGAGGTCTCCCACGGAAGCTGCTCTCAACCTGGCGTTGGGGGCAGCCTACTATCTTACCTCCTCCTTATCCCGTTACACATGGGAATAGGGTCAGCTAATTTTTTTTTATACAAAATAATGTAACCTCAAATTGTAAAGATTATTTGAATTTTAATCAACTTACAAGATGTAATGTATAATAGTAAAAGAAGGAAAACCCATGAAAAAAAAAGAGACGAGTTATAGCAAACTGCATCAAAAATAAAAAAATATTCTCAATTTTAGGAGCCCATAATACTATTTTGCAAATAAAATATATTGGTATCATACAAAATAATGTAACCTCAAATTGTAAATATTATTTGAATTTTAATCAACTTGCAAGAAGTAAGATATATTCGTAATAGAAGGAAAAGCTCATGAAGAAGCTATAGCAAACTGTTTCAAAAATCACAAAAATATTCTCAATTTTAGAAGCCTTAATACTCAAAACTATGTTCCACAGACTCAAGATGAATCTATATAAAAAATAGACAGTCAAGTTGTCCATATAATTTATTTGTATCATAAATTATTATTTTATAGTGTCCAGACACCGAATCACCACTGACATGAATGATTGTTTTATAGAAAAGCTTCACTTGATATAGATTCAACTTTGTGGAAGTTATGATAACATCAAAATGCAACTCAATGACTGATATCATAATCATTTCCTAGTTATATAATGAAATCAAATTATGTATAGTATTATGGACACATGATTTAAAACCAAATGTCAGCAAATGAAAGGAATTTATATTGACTACTCTGAGGGAATATTTGCTGCCACAATAAGAGGCGGTATCATAAGGCTTCCGTTTTTGCTAGGTTGGTTCCTAAACAAAGATGGTAACAAAATTGTGTAGTTCTTTCACATAGATATTTAGAATACGAAGGGGGATAGACATATACACACAAAGAGAGAAAGATCGATAAAAAGGAAAAGATTTACCAGAAAGTTGAGTTGTTTGATTGGAACTGAAAGATTAACACCTTCATCTTGAGTAAGCAACATTGGAAGCTCATATTTCTTCATTTCCGCAAAATCTTCTTCTAGATAAACTCCTCGATTGTACAAAATGCTAATCAAAACCGATTTGTTAGTAATCCCTCTATTTATTCTAAAAGTAATAGATTTAGAAAATTCAATGAGAAAAGAGACCCAAAATAAACAAGAAAGAAACTGCTACTGAGATTTACCTATTTGCTACATATACTGAAACGGAAAAAGAATAAAGTTATCCCAAAAATACTCAGAAACCCCATTAAAATAAACAAGAAATGGTAAAAATTAAGAAAGCTATATTTGAAAAATCACATACCAAAAAAAATTGCTCACCGTTGTCGCTGTGAACTTCTTCAACAATTCTTCGGCAACAATTCTTAACGTCTATAAACTTCTTCTACGATTCAGATAAAAGAGGGGGAAATGTAAAATTTTAAATGAAAGGGCAAAAGGTAAAATCAAGACAAGAAGACAACTGGAATCAGGAATTCAAGAAGTAGAAATTATTGTTTGAGTTGGAAAACTAAAATCAGGATAAGAAGGCAACTGGAATTCATCGTCTTCCTAACTATTATTTTTTGGGTTCTTTTTATTTTGATTCTTCAAATGAGCATACCGACGTCCCCTTCTCTCTCTTCTGATCCATTTTCAAATTTCAAATTTCAAATTCCTAAGAAACCTTCTCTCACACGGTATGTATTTATTTTTTTTCTCTCTCCAAAACTGCTTCCACCCAACCTTTTATTGTAAATTATGATAACAGCGGGATGTAACGGCTAGTTTATAGCGCGCCTTTTTTCACCCTTTTCTTTAGATATGTTTTCTAGTTTAAGTTGATGAATGATGCCAAGTTCAGGGTCAAATTATTAGTCCGACTTCAAAATTCAACCAAGCTAGATAAAATTCGTTTGACTTTTTATGGATTTAGCGCACTTAGGCAGAATGCGTTGTAAGACACGCTTTTCCTATCGTGTTTTTATCTTACATGATAAAAATAGTATTAGATTAAAAAAATATGTAATGGGTGTAAATTTTTTTATTTTTAAATAAAATATATTTAGATAAAAGAAAAAAAATAAACTATACAGGTGGTCAATAAAGTTTGAGAAAATTTTTGTTTTTCTGCTTAAAGTTTCAAAAAAAATAACAAGTTAATTACTAACATTATCGATTTTATAATAAATTAATCGTTCTTTATTAATAGTTGTTAACATGGGATGCTGACGTTAGAACAAGCTTTATTGAGTTTAGAAATAAGAAAATTCAATGGCTTGTGCCTTTCAAATTGAAGTTAGTTAAGTACTTGTTTTCTTAAAATTGTTTTATCCAAAAAAAATTATCGGATAAAATGATTAGAAAAACTTCTCTTAAAATAAAATTTAAAATCATTAGTAACAAAGTGAGGAATTTAATTTGAGTATATTTCTTTTTATGCAAAGTTTATTTTGTAAATGAGAAATATATCTTTATAAATAAATATTACAGATTAAGATTTAGAAGTAAGTTGATTTAATCCTAAATCACATTTAAATATAAATAATTTTGTACTTTTTTGACTTAATGAATTTTTTTTCTTTTACATGTGATTTTTCGTAAAAAATGATTCTTCGAATTAAATTTTGATATATTCTATTTTATGATTATTTTGTATTCTTTATTATCGTGTTTATATTATTATAAAGTGTATTTTTATGATTAAAAGAAAGATGACAAGCAAGTTAAAGGCCATATCCTGAATAAATAAATTTACAAAGATAACACTGATTCTTCTCCAGAACTATGACCAACAAACATTAGTTCTGCAAAATGTACGCTTTATTTTGTTTCCTTTTTTCATACAAGGTGTTCGATTATACTATGTTCACTCCCCGGAGGAGCGATAAATTTCATCCGCGTGTACTTTCATCACGTAGAGCGCATTTAGTAGCAAACTGTGTCTACGACCGTAGAATACGTAAATCAGAACCCCTACCATTGTTCTAAAATGAACCCTGAAACCATGCTACAACCCTGAGTTTCAAACAACATAATAAGAGAAGAATGCCAATGTGAAAATAAGAGAAAAATAAGAGAAAAATAATAGTATGGGTTAATGCTTACCACAAATTAAAGAGCAGGTAGATATTGATTAGAATGTCGATAATTGGTAGGAGTGGAACAAAAGGGCATATGAAACCTGAAATACATTCATACATACTTATACATATACATATTATTGATATCAGGTCAAATTCAAGCATGCATAAATAGATGAAATCATAAAAGATAAGTCGAAATAGGATGGCGAGAAACAACAAACTGAAATATGAGTGCTGTAGCATACCTCCTGAATGCCCAAACGTATGCCTTTCATTGTCTTGATCAATACAGGTGAGAATAATCATGCCACCGAGAAGAAGAATGTCGCCGGCACCAAACATCGTGAACCGAAGAAGGCTAAAGGAAGATGCCAGCGACCTCGAATCAAATGAGAAAATAAATTATCATATTCATTTAAAAAAAAACAAGATAAAGATATTCAACCAAATGAAGTATCAAGAATTTTTCCCTCCCCTTTGCCTGATTTATGATGATGGTGAAAATCATAATGATTGGTAAGATTGATAAATTACTTGAGCCCCCCATTTATCATTGATTTTTTTGTTTAT